AATTGAAAATCAGAATGATAGTCGGTACATTACGAATAGGTTGATGTTCCAACAGGATGGTGCCCCACCACATTACGCATTACATGTTCGACAATATTTAGATCAGACGTTGCCAGATCGATGGATTGGTAGAAGGGGTGCCACTGAATGGTCCCCAAGATCGCCAGATTTATCGCCTTTGGATTTCTTTATGTGGGGTCATTTAAAAAGCAAAATCTATGCTACTCAGTCAACATCATTAGAAGACCTGCGACAAAGAATTGTGAATGAGTGCCTTCAAATTACTCCTCAAATATTGCAAAATGTGCGGCAACGTTTTGAGCAAAATCTTGGTGGCCATTTTCAACATTTACTTGCCTAACGGGTCAGTTTATTCTTCATTTTTACATTACTTTGCTGCCAAATGTATTGATCTCCACTAATGATGATGTATTAGCTTTATTTAAGCTTCAAATCAATAAATCTTCAACATTACTGAACTGAAGTACATTAATTTGATATCATTATAATGGGAATTGAAAGACCTTTAAAATAAGGTATCACTCGACCCCCCTTTTCATTTAAGATTTTAGGGTTGGTGTCACCCCCGCCCAGAGGGCTGCACGTGTTAACTTGATTTTTTACCAAACTTGTGTTCCCCTCGAAAACAAAATCGACGGGTCTGAGCGTTTTTCCAAAAAAGAAACCGAGCTGCCAGTAAATGCGTCTGTTTCGTTTTCGATGCGCCAGGACCCAAGTTTTTTGATTTGGAAGTTCGCAGTCAATGTCCAGTATAAATTCGAATAAAGTTATATTACAATGTTGCAAAACTGCGAGAATAAAGTGAAATGTCCGCATCCCGTATGCTAATTCCTGTTATATTTACGGCATTTTCCAAACTCTTATTTACGAGTGCAGGAAGACCTTAAAAGAGATGGCCACATATTTCCGAGAGCTGTCCCGAGTAGTGTAGGTTTCAGTCCGGAAAGTGTTGAAATGTATGTGTGGATATAACAGATGCGATAAAAATTATTGGCGATAAATTTTCTCAAAACTGAGATCAATGTGTAACTGTTTGGTACACTCATGCCTCGTGAAATATTGTCCACTTCGGTATTATAAACGATGAAAAGGGATATGTATTACCGATATACAGGATAAATGGGGGATTTATGTATAGATGTTTGAAAAGGGTTATTTGAAGTGGATTTATATACACTCTGGATAAAGCGCTGAATTGAGTGAACTTCGTAAAAAATCTATATTATGTATAACAGAGAGTATAGACATACTAATCCGAGTGCCGATGGAAAAACGGAAAATGAAATATTTTGTTCCTCTAAAGCTGTCGCCAACCCGTCGATCGCGAGCTATCGGTAGCTCGCAAAGGTAATTCTGGTGGCTCACAACATATTTTAAAAAGGTGTAAAAATCATAGAAGCTTCTGTAAATCTTGTAAATTCTCATAATAAACACAAGCAGCCGCAACACTGCGGTGAGCGATCTGTTCTAGAACGATCTCGATTACTTTGAACGGAATAAATACGGGTTAGAGTTGGCCTGCAATTGAAAACATTAGGAGCAGGAGTAAGAAAATGAAGACATACAATTTCCATCCGGAATGGGAAGAACAATATTTCTTCACGGAAGTTAAAGGTAAAAATCTATGTTTGTTATGTAATACATCTATTTCCGTTACTAAAAAAGGGAATATCGATGATTCAGCTTTAAGACCATTAGTCTTAAATACAAAATGTATCTGGGTTTCAGTAAGTAAAGATAAATATTCAGTCTTATGTCATGATGCCTTGAAACTGAAAGCGTTGTTTGGTTCGACCTATTTCTGTGAATCTTCTATTTCAATTATGAAGTTTAGTAAAAACAAATACCGTAATCGACTTACAGATGAACATTTGGATAATTGTATGCGAATGGCGGTATCATATTATACTCCAAACATTAAAAAAAATGTCAGTGAGTCTGAGTGTCAGGCTTCTCATTGAACGCGCATTTTTTATCAGGACATGTTTTTGTTTAAAATAGTGCGTTTCTTTTTAATTTTTAGTCACCTTTATTAAATCGTATGTTTATTTTTCAAACACCTACGTTTGGTAGGAATGGATGAAGTTATGTAATCGGATACAACTGTGTATCATTTCATTTAAGTTGGGTTACGTTGCTTACGACTAAGTAGCTCACTGTTTATCCTAAAATTATCAACACACTGAAAAAGTTGGTGATCACTGCTAAAAGATATCATTCTGGAAATTAGATATGCAAAACTAGTCACTGCCTGTTAAGTAGCTTACCTATAGCCAGAGCTGAATGACGAACGGATGATGGGTTTTGCTAAGTACGCCATATTTTAGGGAATAAAAAAGAGGCTTCAAAGGGCCACGATTAGCTTGACCAAAAGTAGGCACAGGCCAAGAATTATGTAGAGCCCTAGTTTCAACGATATACAGAATATTTTGTACGTAATTAAAATAGTGGCTTAAGAATTATTTTTTCAAATTCATTAGAGGGTAATGACGTAAAGGTTAACGATAACGGTGCTTAATACGCAATGAAATGTCACATAAGGTTAAAGTTAATGTTTAAATATGCAGTAAGTAATGAGAGTGGCAATTACATCCTAATATGAAGTCAATTTGTAACTACCGATGCATTTCATCTTATACAAATGTCAGAAATTCACTGATTCAATGAACAACCATCTTTAATGACTTCTCATCGCAATTATAGAATATTGACATATAGCTTACTAAAAATACATTTAGTGTCAAAACCTTTTTAACGCTGAATGAGTATCCGCATACATACATCTACAACTGTTGCCTATATCTAGATGAAATGATTGGGTAATTAGTTAAGGGTATTATTTAAAAAAATACTATTTTTATCTTGTGTGGAAATATCTCCTACAGCGGCTGTTTTGTAAAATATTTGCGTTATGAATCGTTCAGCTCCCGAGAACATACTGCACAGAAGCACAGCTGTTGCCACAACAAATCTGCACAGTAAATTTGTGATTTCATTTGGTCACGCTATGTAGTGTGCAGGTGTCGGGAAGGTTTGAAACAAAACAATAACATTTGGTACATATGCTCAGTTCCACATAATGCTACAAACACCAAAAGGTAGCCAGACAAGTCTATGAACCAAATAGTGCAAGATCTCAAAGTGCCGGACGTACCTTATTTTCTGAAAGAAGAATGGATGTTGAGTGCCGTTTATATGTACGGGGGCGGTTAATAAGTACCCGTGTTAGAAATGAAGACACAATTTTTTCCCAAAAAAATCTTTTAATTTTCCAACATAAGCCCCTTTTAGAAATATACACTTTTCCCAACGTTAATGCCATTTTTTGACCTCCCAAAAAAGTAGGATTTGTCGAACTCTCCAAAATACGCCTGTCTCGGCGATGACTTCCTTGTTTGAGCTAAATGTTTTCCCCGCGAGCCGTTTATTCATGTCACGGAACAAGAAAAGGTCACAGGGGGCCAGATCGGGTAAATAGGGGGGGGTGCAGCAGCACTTCATAACGCAATTCATGCAGTTTGGCGGCGACAACTCCGGATTAATGTGCTGGTGCGTTATCGTGGTGAAACAGCACCTTATTTTTCGCGAAATGTGGCCGTGTCTCCTTCAATTTTTTGTCGAAGCGGTCCATTAACTTAGTATAGTATTGTCCAGTGATCATTCTTCCGTTTTCTAAAAATACACGAGGATGACGCGGTTCCATCTTAAAAAAATCGTCGCCACGACCTTTCCGGCCGATGGGACAGTCTTCGCCTTCTTTGGAGCAGATTCACCTGGAGAAATCCATTGTTTTGATTGTTGCTTAGTTTCTGGTGTGTAATGAAGAATCCAGGTTTCATCGACGATGACAACTCGATGCAAAAACTCCTTCGGATTTCGCTTAAATTGCTCCAAACATTGCTTCGAAGTTAACAGCCGACAATTTTTTCATAGCCAACTTATCATGTAAAATATTGATTGCGTTCCGGTCGGCACACCTACGGCCTCTGCTACTTCGCGCACTTTCGTTTGTCGATCAGCGAGAATCATGTCGTGGACTTTTTGAATGAGTTCCTCGGTAACCACGTCTGCCGGGCGTCCTGGTGGCTCCTCATCAAAAACGTATGTTCGCATACGTTTAAATTCGTTGACCCAATATATAACTGTGGCCGTAGATGGCAAAGTATCCTTATAAACAGCATCCAACTTTGCTTTTATCTCCACGCATTTTTTCCCATCCAAAAACAAAAAGCAAATTGCCGAACGATATTGCTCTTTTTCCATCTTGGAGAAAATCACGAAACACGTGTTACTCGAATGGCTGCCAAATGCAAACTAACCTATCAATCAGTCTGAAATTTGTTGTGCCGTCCTTTGAAAGATGGCAGCACACGATGGCAACATTAACTTCCCTCAGGAACGCCCTCTGTCGTCAAACACGGATACTTATTGTACCGCCCTCGTACTTTGAACGTCTGCGTCAGATAGTATCAAGTGAAAAATGTTTTATAAAAATATTTTTCCCCCTCTCTCCTTCCCCGAGAACCTGTCTGGTTTTTGGGGAATCAGATCTGATAGACTGACGACAAAACACTGACCTTACAATGACTATGACCTAAAGGTCAAAGTTCTCCGCACCGCCTTGATAAGCAAGTAGTGGAGGAATGTGTTTTTTCCATAACACTATATTATAATAAACCAAGGACAATAGTCATAACAATCTGTCATTTTAATGAAACCGTACATGTTGACGAAAAAGTTTGCTAACGTTTCTGTTACCTCGACTATCGATTGACTTCAAGTATAGAGATCGATCAGCGAGACAACCATAGAATATGTTAATCAGGATCCAAAAATATTATGACGTGATATAATTCACTCTTTTTGCATTAGAATTCACTGTAGTGTCTGTTTTGAATGTGTCATTCAAAATGTCGGTATACTAGACTTCCAACAGGACAAAGGATTAATGCTTAGCTTGATTTGATCATTGTACTTACTGTCCAGCTCTCTGTACTCAACGATGAATTTGAAAACCTCGTCCGTGTCACCTGCGTTGTTATGCTGCCATTTCAAATTGACACTTCGACTTCCTACCATCGCTGCTTCCAAGGCATGTGGTGGGGGTGGAGGTTCTTGGACCAGTAGTTGCACCAGCTGCTTTTCCTGGCCATACATGTTGCTCGCTCTACAAAAATAAGCGCCACTGTCTGACGCGTCAGCGTTCAGGATTTGAAGCTCCGCAGCAACCTAAAAGAATATTAATAGTGAGTCATCATTCTAGCACCCTACACGATAGAATCTTCAGATTCTAGCGTCCATTTAACTGCCTCCTTTATCAACATTTATTTAACTCTTATAGCGCTTTCTTTGATGAAATTGGTGTCGTTTACATGTTTGAAACATTGCTCTGGTCCATCCTAAATTTGCTCGAAGCAACAAAAAACGGCTGTCATTTCATGTTTCGTGCTATCATCATTCGATAAAATCAATCATAGAGCATTGTTGAACAAATTAGGGCAATTTGGACTCTCAGTAAGTACTATGAACATCTTTAGATTCTATTGATTAGGTAGGAAGCAGCATGTATCATATAATGGGTTCAAGTCCGAAGCCTACTCAGCTCCATCTGGTGTTCACCAGGGGTCTAATTTGGGACCACCTTTATTTATATTATTTATTAATGACCTCTGTGAAAATATGAAATGTATACAATTATGATTTGCTGACGACGTGAAAATATATTCATTTATAAGGGATATTCATAATTGTTTTTATTCAGAGTTGGAGTTGATGCGATGTCAACAAGTGCACGGTTGTTAGAGTAGAAAAAAAACCTTCATATTTTCAACTATACTATTATTGAATAGATGTGATGCAATTTGAGATTTGGGTGTTCTTTATGAGCAAATATTAACGCATACGGTTTCCTTGTCAGGAATTGTAGGCAAATTCACGACATGGTGCATTTGAAGGTTTCATATTTTGCATATGCGCGTAGCAAACTTGAATATGCAAGTATTCAACGGAGCCCGTATTACCAAATTGATATAAACGAAATTGAAAATTTTCAAAGATGATTCCTTGAATTTCTTTGAAGTTGAGTCATCAATTTTCAAATAATGATTGTAGAAGGAAGATAAACCAAAATATGTGTGTAAAAATAATAAAAAAAATAAAAAAAATTTTTAGCTTGTTTTATAAAGTATCCTCCCGACAAGTATTTCAGTGCGGACCTGTATTTGATCGTGCGGGCTTGGAGCACCGGCTCTCCCCTGTGAGGTCTTAAGTCACCTGATTCACGAGCCCTTTGTACTACATTCAGCATTTTCGTAAACATGTGCCATTTTTTATTTCGTTTGAGCCACGTAACAAACACCACCATTCACTCACGCGTTACCGACACATCGACTGAATACAACTGAATAAGATTGTACATTGTAGTAAAAACATTGATTCAAATTCTTTCGCTTTTTTGTTTCCGATGCGATGAACGGATAAGGCGGATTAAATCCGTTGTTGCCAAACACGAGCACATAATATTATTATTGAGACAGGGCGGTACTCAAACTTCTAAAGGGCTATAACTTTGTTACTTTAATTTTACCAGAAAAATGTTAAAGGAAAAAAACATTTCTTTTGATCAGATCTACTCACTGTTAAAATAAATGACTCAACTTCGAAGTCACCCTGTATAAAGTATGAGGAAGCTTATATGAGCAAGGAGTTAGCAATGCTGAACTGTGTGGGCATTTTGTAATTCAAAGCTTAGAAATCGGAAGAAAGGTTTCATCTGCAATATTCTAGGACAAATTAATATTAATGTGCCTCCGTTCTTATTATTATTATTATTATTATTAAACATTTTTCTTTCATTTTCTTAACCTTTTTGGTGCTGTAATTCTCGAAGAAGAGAAGATAATGCCACGAAAAATTACTGTAAAAATGGGTGCATGCACAGTCACATGTAAAAGCTGTAAATGTGACACTGTATATTGCTGGCTCGTGATTTTGAACCAAAACTTTTCCAACCACTTTACGCAAAAAGCTGACACAAAAGTATTAGCGCCGCTATAAAGTACAAAGCAGTATGAGGTACGCATTTGTTACTTGACGATATGGGGTATTTTGAATGTTAGTAGATGAGCTGTTACTTGCTGTTACGTTCTGAACTCGATTGTAGTGGAGAATAGTGTACCACTTTCTGGAAGAAAATGTATTTAAGCAAGTGAAGCATTCAACTATCTCCGTAACTAGTGCAGGCAATATACTTAAATTAGAAGTAAATACAGGGTTTGTCCGGAAAGTAATAGGACTCATTTTCTTCCGCCATGACTGTACTTCGGAGCGTGCGCGCAACGACTGGATTCGGTAGAGGGCGTTCCTAGCTAACGAATGAGTGGCTGGTCAGTTGTCTCCGTGCACTTGGAGAGTCAGGACAGGCATTTTCGCGCGACGTGTTTCTGTGAGTGGTGCAAGCCGAAAATGCAGCGTTCGTTAGAGCAGAGGTACGCGATTAAATTCTGTGTGAAACTCGGTAAATCTGCGACGACCGTCGACTAAGTATTCGTTTAATTGCCCAGATGTTAACTTCACCTAAATCTGTGGTTCATGACATTGTGACTCAGTATTTGAATATGCGCAAGGTGTGCGCGAAGATGATCCCAAAAGTGCTCACTGACGACCAGAAACTGCGGCGAGTGGAAGTGTGCCAAGAAAATTTGAACATGTGTGAAAGGCACCCCCAATTTTTGAATAACGTAATCACAGGTGACGTGTCGTGGATCTTTGAGTATGATCCCGAGACAAAGAGGCAATCTTCCGAGTGGCACACGACGGCGTCTCCTCGCCCAAAAAAGGGAAGAATGAGCAAATCCAAAGTGAAAACGATGCTCATTGTCTTTTTGACATCAAAGGCATCGTCCACCATGAATTTGTTCCTCCTGGACAAACCGTCAACGCCAAGTTTTACGTGGAAGTGCTCGCAGCCGACTTGCACCACGAGAACGCCCCGGCTCACACCGCCTTTCTTGTGAACAGCTACCTGACCAAGGCCGGCATCCCAACGCTTCCGCAGCCGCCCTACAGCCCAGATGTGCCCCCCCTGATAATAGGCAAGCATTTTGAGACGACAGAGGGGATTCAAGCAGCATGCACCGCGGCTCTCAAGGCTATTCCGGAGAATGCCTTCCGTGACGCCTTCAATGCTTGGAAATCGCGCTAGCAGCGCTGCATCGACGCAGAAGGAGCCTATTTTGAAAGTTTTTAAAGAATTGTAACAAGTAGCTCAATAAGTATTTTTAAATCGACCCAGTCCTATAACTTTCCGGACAAACCCTGTATAGGTACTTACACCATCAGGAGTGACATCTTGCTTCACGTTTACCCTGTAGTTCATCGACGGATTCAGTTCAGTCTTATCACCCTTTGACCAGATCACGTTGATTGGTTTGTCGCCGTTCACATCACAATGCAGTAGTGCAGTATCTCCTTTCTTTACAGTTACTAAGCGTGATGGTGCTGAGAAGTATGGAGACGCTGAAAAAAATATCATTTTTCGTAAGATAGAATTAGAGGCTCTTCTTGCATATCTCGCGCCCTTGTGAAATTTAAATATGACCCTGAGTTTTATAACCACAACGCTTTGATGATACAGATACTACGCTAGGGACGTTTCAATCTCACTGTGTGAATGTACGGGAGCCTCCACCACCTTTGTTACAAGTATTGTGGTCCATCTAGCATCAAAGTTTTCACCTGTCAAGAATTAAAAACGTTTTTTTTTTCATTTCAGGGAGCGTGGGTGCGAAATCTATTCTTCCTCTTGTTCTTCTAACTCTGCGAGTAAACTTATTGTTGTTGAAGATTTATCTAGCATTAAAGCTACATTGCCAATTTTGTATAATTATTCGTTTACGCATTTTTTTCGATCCATTTTCTGTAATTTTATATCACTATGAATTTTTTGTATTCATAAAGTGATTTTTTAATTTCACCATAAACATTTTTAAATTCGAACACTGTTCAATATCATTATTCATCTTAATAAATACAAATACTCCTTTTAGAAATACAGATTTTCTAGTAATGCTAGTATTACAGTTTTAGAGATAAAAATCTATACTGCCTCTAGTTTCGTAATAATTATGATAATGACCATTTAATTTTGTGAAGTTTTCTAAATGTGGTGGTAATAAATGATTTTTTAATTTTAATATGAAAATGAGAACTAAATAGCATGAGAATTTTTTTACATCCAACCACTGTAGTTTTTCTAACATAGACTTAATCCTAGCATATTTGTTTTTATTTAAAACGATTCTCATAGCTTTATGGTTGAACAATATACAAAATGGGGAAGAATTATAATGTTATACACAATTTTATTAGAATACATACAAAGATTATGGGAAACTCTATAGAAATAATTTATCTTTTTTAATATTTCTGATATAATGTATTCATAATGCTAGTGAAACAGTAGTTTACTAACCAAGATATTAAAATGATTCGACTACTTTAATTTTTTCACATACAACCAGTTCATACTTTTTTATTATAATTATTTAATAGTTCTAAAGCAATGCCCAAATGTTTATGTGCTCAATGTATCGCCCGCAAATATTTGAATTTTGCAGTGTTTTAAAATGTCAGAGATATCACTTATACAGGGTGTTTCAGTTTATTGTTGCATAACTTTAAGATTCTATAGAACTTTTAAAATTGATGCATAAAGTCTATATAAACATGGGTCGAAAAATGCGTGGCTTCCGAATACAGGGTGTTTAAATTTACTTTCTAAAATAGTTTTTTTTAAATATTTCGAACAATATTTGATGTATAACAGTGAAAATTGGTATACAAGTGTTTTACTGTAGTCACTAGAGGGCGCTCTCTATTCTACCTGTAGTGTATTAAAATGACCGAAAAAAATTTCTTAGTGCAACTTTTTGCTTGTTGAATAAAAAAACTGATTCTTCGCACTTTTCAACATAAGAAAGCTCTTATGTGAATTTTCGTTATAGTTAGCCGTTTTTGAGATATTTCGATTTTTAAGGTTTGATGCATTTTTAATTATTTATGATAAAACAACGTTAAGAAGTCAGTATCTCGATAATTTTTAGATGTAGGCTGTGCCTGCAAATATTTTTGAAATTGAAAGCAGATTAAAGTTAAACGTCAATTAGTTGACAGTTAGTTTTGTTGTCTGTTAAAACCTGAAACGTTTTTTTGCCATTGTGAATGCACGAAATTTAGTTTCTTTTACCTGTTTTTTTTGTAAGTTTTATAAAAATGCCGTTTTTATTCTCCAATCAAGAGTTAGCCGATATTCATTTTGTGTATGGCTTTGTTAATGGAAACGCAGCAGAAGCAGCCAGAATACGCACGAAGATTTCCAAACAGACGACATCCAACTCGCTCAGTAGTTGTAAGAGTGCATCGCCAAATAATTGAAAATGGTCTTGGAAATCTCCAAAGGGATCAAAACATAAATGTTCGTCAGCGCAGATTTACCCGTATGATTCTGCGTGAGTTTGATAGAGATCCGACCACAAGTGTTAGGAGAGTTGCTGGTGCCTTGGGAATTTCAGCAAGCCATGTTCACCGTGTTCTTAGAAATGACCATAGACGTCCTTGCGATTTGCAACCTACTGTGCAAGGTCTACAGCCAGGTCACGGAGAACGAAGAATCACATTTTGTCAGGGGATTCTTGCTAGAACTGATAATAATAGGGAGTTTTTAAGTAACGTTTTATGGACCGATGAGTCATGCTTCACTAGACGTGGAGTGGTAAATTTTCATAATCAACATATTTGGTCGCATGAAAATCCGCATGCAGTTCGGGAAAGAAATTTTCAGCATGAATTTAGTGTGAACCTGTGGATTGGTATCTACCTTAATCGACTATTTGGACCCTACCTTTTGCCTGCAAGGTTAAATGCTGCGACCTTCTTGGAATTTTTAAAGGCTGAACATGCAAATATGTGGGATGACGTTATGTTAGATTTAAGAAGATTGGCCTGGTTCCAGCTTGATGGTTGTCCAGCTCATTATTCGAGAATAGTTAGAAACTGGCTGGACGAAAATTATACAAGATGAATCGGCCGTGGAGGACCAGTCGCCTGGCCTCCACAATCCCCTGACCTAAATCCATTAGATTTCTTTGTGTGGGGATTTCTAAAAGAAAAAGTGTACCAGACTCCCTTAATCACAAGAGATATGCTAATAGACATAATCAGGAATGCATGTGATGAAATAAGGCCTTATTTGAATAATGCGACGTTCGATCATTCGTAGATGTGAATTGTGTATTGAACAATTGGGTTTACATTTCGAGCAACTACTTTAGATTTTGTATGTTTGTCCTAACTAATAAAATAGCATTTTAGTTGTAAATAATTAATTTAATTTTAAAAAATAATATTGGAAAATTAAACAAATTAATATTTTGTTGTTTTGTGTGTATTTGTAGTTAGCAATTATTGCTGTGTGTAAAAACACAATCTAAACGATCGTCTTAATTACTTATAATGCCCAAATCGAAAATGTAAAAAAAATTGTATTTTCCCATAAATAATTAAAAATGCATCGAACCTTAAAAATCGAAATATCTCAAAAACTGCTAACTATAACGAAAACTCACAGGAGAGCTTTTTTATGTTGAAAAGTGCGAAGAATCAGTTGTTTTATTCAAAAAGCAAAAAATTACACTAAGAAAAAATTTTCTGTCATTTTAATACACTACAGGTACAGTAGAGAGCGCCCTCTAGCGGCTACAGTAAAACTATGCCCGTGGTTCGTTTTGTCGTACTAAAAAACCCTTGTATACCAATTTTCACTGTTATACATCAAATATTGTTCGTAATATTTAAAAAAAACTATTTTAGAAAGTAAATTTAAACACCCTGTATTTCGGAAGCCACGCATTTTTCGACCCATGTTTATAAAGACTTTATGCATTAATTTTAAAAGTTCTATCGAATCTTAAAGTTATGCAACAATAAACTGAAACACCCTTTATAAGTCATAAATAGTAACGGCCTAGTTTACTCCCCTGCGACTCCCCTACTGATATACGCTTGACGTAATATTTCAAACTTGTTTTTTGACTTCTATTTACTAAATAATTTTGTAAAATGTATTATACTGATCCTGTAAAACCGTAGCGATGCAATTTAATTAACAATTTTTCCCTATCTATAGTCTCAAATGCCCTTTTGAAGTCTAAAAATACTGTTACAGTACATTCTTTCTCATCCCAAGTCTTCCACCACCATTTGGATTGCTGTTTCTGTAGAATATTTTTTTCTAAATCCAGCTTGATTTTTTGTCACAATTTTGTTTTCTTCAATGAATTCGATCCCTTCGAAAAGCTTCTCCGCATCTGGCAAGATGTTAATCGGTCACATATTTGTATACAGCTCAGGATATTAAACATTTTGCACAGGAGTAATGGTGGAACATTAATTTTGATGGGAATTCACCATGTACTAAACAATGATTCACCAATAATAATAATTCCTCTCCAATTATGTTCAAAACAATCATCTTTTTTGAAAGATTCTCACTTGGATTTTTATTATTTTTCAATTGTGAAATAGCTTTTCTTAGATTGTTGATGTTCATTGACCTAAATTGATTCATTGACGAATTATGATATACTTGTAATGAACATAAGTTTGGATCACCGCCATCAATCGACGTCACTATTTGATGTACAGTGTTTGTAAAATAAGTTTTCATTCTTTCTCCAATAATTTCAGATTATTCAGTCTTCCTAGTTGGAGAAACAATGTTAATGTTTTAATCGATATTCTTATCATAGCATCTTTTCTTTTCCCCCGTGAGAACTGCTACACACTCATTTCTTGATTTTGTATATAATTTCCAATCATTTTTCTTTGGGTTACTAAACATTTTCTATAGTGAAAACAGTTAGTATCACCATTTCTATAATTTGCTTTTTGATGATGTAAGTTATGGAATCCTGTTGGTAACATAACTATGTGGTACAAGCCCATTATTCCAACAAATTGAATTGTATGGCAAGCAAGCTCATTAAGAAATTTTTGCTTTTTACTTCTTTTTTTCGATACAGCTCTGTTATTTTTCCTATAAAGATTAGAATTATATCGAGGCACAGACAGATTTTGTTCAATATTTGTAACCACTCTTCGTTCCTGCAATAAAGTCTGTTATTTTTTTACCATACGACGTGTGCATTCTTTATCTTGTATCAGTTCCAAACCATGTTATCCTCATGTGACAATTTCACAACTTAGCTGACTTGTTAGCTATTCCTCAAGTCGTAACCGTGACATAAATGTAGTGGAATGTGGAAGTCTGACACCCGGTTTATCATACTTCCTAACATCCGTATGTTCAGGATAAGAGAGACGCTGCAACGTTTATCGGCATATCGGTTCAGCTATTACGAAACTTGTTCAATTAAGGGTTAACTACGTGTGTTTCCGAACTCCACACGAACCAAACAGTTCGTGCGGTCGAGATAGTTTACTGTTTACTGATAGTGTTG